GGGAAATGGGTAAGTAGCATTCTTCAATTTCGAGACAGCTTCTTCCCTCCACTTTGATTCCGACAATTACTTCTTCTTCTTATTATGTACACAGACAATACTTGTTCTTGGAGCTGTCGCAAGGAGAAACAGAAGCATCGAAATGATACTTTCTTTCTTCATGTGTATTTCTTCAGGTTACGTTTGGCCCGAAACTGCCCAAGCTTGTCTCTCCACTCAGCTACAAATCATAGAACCAACAATGTAACTGATCTTTAGACCAAGAACAAGAATGTAGGTAGTTCTACCAATTTATGTGCAATGCAGATACATGAAAATCACAAGATCGAGGTCACAAAACTGATTAGTATCGGACAATTAGCTTACCGGCTTCATCATATCGCTCTTCGTTAACAGCTTGCATCATGTTGCTCAATATATTGAACTCTTTCGTATCAAGACAAGCCTGACCATTTGGTCTGCACAAATGTCGAAACCAAGTTATAAGTAGTGGCACTCAAATTCATAGCAAAAGAAAGATTTATCTTTAGGGGTGTGAAAATTTACCGGTCTTGTTCAGTAAATAATAAACCATCTGAAGCAGGTGTAGGTGTTGATAGCTTCCCTGACTCGATGACTCTCATTCCATCACTATATGCAAGGTACTTGTTCACTTGGATAGGTACCTATAGAAACGATCAACACATTTCTTAACCACGAACACGTATTTGTATTTACCTCAGATGATAAATTAACATAGTTATGTATTACCTTGCATCTAACAGCTATATTAATTGCATCAGAAGGCCGAAGGTCGAAGCTGATACAATCCGAGGGATTACCCACCTGCAATGTCATCCCAAAAGAAGCGTTAATAAAGGAAACAGATAACTATATTAGAGTTTCCGAATGAAAGTTGCATAGGAGAGACCAGTTACAAACCTTTGAGAGGTATAACTGGGCAAAATACGCCTCGTGAACTCTTTTGGTGACTCTAACAAGTCTAACCTGTAGGAAAGTTAATAAAAATTTTCATGAACAATATGTTCATGATATAAGGAGATTACATTGAGACTTAAACCATAAGACATACTTCGTAACCCATCTTGTCCACCATTTCCTTCACCACTTGATACATGGTGGGTCTTGCCTGCAACCAGTAACCAAAAAAATACATTAATTCTCTCTTCAATCAATGTTTACTAATATAAACAGAGAAACCAAACAAACAAGGAATAAAAGAAGAACATACAATTTGGACATTGGTCATTGCTGCCATAAGTAACACACTAGGCATCTCCACTGCAATAAGAGAAACAAATCATAGATCACTAAAAAACATTTTGTGATCATCACCAAAACTAAGCTACTCAAAGACAATTTCACGTACACACGATAATAGGAAGGAGAAGACCAGTTCCATCTTCCATTTTCAACACAATTGCAGGATGTGGAGCATAATCTGGTAAATGCCCTCCTTGAGGATTGTTATGAACACATCGTAATTGCCTACCATCTCTCATCTTCACCATGAAACCATCAGCTCCGCTTCTTACCTCAACTAAAAACATTCAAAAACACGCAAGAAATTGAAAATTGGAACAAAATCAAACCAGAGAAAAAATGAAACTCTGATAACAATCCACACTAGCTAAAGCTTTACCAGCTTCCACAACACTAGAGTTAACATATTCCTCATCGTTTTCGTTGAAATTCTCTGCGGTGCTTCCGGTACCATCAGAGTGAGAGCTGAAAACACACTTGATACTAGTCTTTCGAGGATGCAAACGAAGAGTGATTGTGGTAACCTGAGACTTGACACCTTTTGTCCGATTACCCCAGAATTGGCTTCTAAGAAACCTAGGTTTCACACCAGTGTAGTTTACAAATGATGAACCACATGCACCTACTTGTCTTGGACGAATTGCAGGGCAAACAACTGGTGCTTGAAGCGACCTCATCTTCCTTTCAATCACAAAAATCAAACTTTCGATTTCAGTACCAAACATGGCAAAACTTCTAAAACTGGAATCTAGATTTCAGAATACGATGATCCACAACAAATTCCAGAGATTCTACCCC